CTGCAAAAATAGAAAAAATAATTTTAAAAAACCGATTATAGCTCAAATTATATAGGTACAACACATAATTTGTGTGTGTTTGCGAGCGCGTATTGTTCAAAAAAAAAAATACTGTACGGTAATAAAAGTTCGAAAGTTTTTTCTTGTTATTTGGCAGTTCCGGAACGTGACACAAAGGACATATATTACTATTATTCTATTATACTATCATAGCGTAATAATACTACTTTCACCATGAACGGACGCCGTGGTCGTCATCGGGGGAGTGAAGACAACGACGTATCGTTCTTTATACGAACGTAGTAATTACATATGCATATGCATATTATAAGATATAAAACACGTAATTAATACATCGATGTCATAGTCTTCGAGATTTTATATAAATTTATATTGTAAATGAAGACCGAGATTTATTTAATGATTGAGGAGTTATGCAAAACACCAAAGAATGTTGGCCTACTTTTTGTCACTAGCCTATGTACTGTTCCCTCGCAATCGTATACACAATGTTATTATATACAGTGTTTCAGTCGAATGTCGAAACGCCTGTGTGGCAAATGGACACTATCGTACACAACAGTTAGGTATACCAGACATAACACTTGGCTCATACATTTTAGGACACATTATTCTAGTGTAAATGTTAATTTTTTTCTCTGTCACTCGTTTAACCGCTTGTTAACTATATTTGGATAGACATTATTGAATTACTAGGCAAACACACCGGAGGACGATTGTCTTATAATTATACTAATAGCGTACCGGTAGCACCAGAGCTGTTAAACGGTCATCAACCTGCTCCGGGACAGTGAGGCGACGGCGGTGGTGGTGGCGGCGGCGACGGCCGCTCGCATACAATTTTTTTTCTAGTAAGTCGATTTCCTACGGTTGCCCTCATATCTCTGACCGAGAATTATGAATTTATGAGACACAAAAAGTCCTGATAAAAGGGAGAAAATCTACAGTTTTGCTTTTGTTAGATATAAGAAATTACTAACATTTTGTGATCATTTATTTATTATAAATATTAAAATACGTATATGTGAAAATAAAATTCGACAGTCTTCTATTGTCGAATAAACGGAGTGTGACTTAATAAATCGATCATAACTTTGGCGGGAACTTTTTTGCGCGCATACATTTTTCAGCACCATGAATGGTTTCAAACCCGATAATTCTGAATAAGTCTTTCTCTCTATACACAAACGCACACATAATATATTTTATATCGAAAACATATAAGTGGGTCATATACGGTAAGAATTCGCATATTCATTCGGACACACGCATACACGCTGCTGCTAAGTATGACCGTTATACCTCGCTGGAAGGTTCGTTTTTTATTTCAAGCGTGTACCTATATATAATATCATAACACGGTGTTATTATAAATATACGTTCAGCATGTGTAATAGTCGTCGCGAATGACGCGCGCCACACACACACCACCATATATTACATAGTGTATATACATATAATATATATATATATGCATTATATACACACACACTCACTATATTATGTACATATATACATAGAACGCCGAGCAGAGGGTTAATCAATACCGGTCGACGGAGGCGGCGGAGCTTTCCGTCTTTATGTATATACGGCGGCGGTGGCGTCGTCGCCGTCGTCCGTCCGTTCGTCCAACCCCACTCACCCCGCGAGCGACCGCGCGCGTGCATATATATATATATATTTATTTATATAGGCCTGACGGGGCGAAATCTCGTTCACGTATATAATATTTTACTACAACGAATATCGAAACGAATTTAAATTTCCGTCTGCCACGGCAATAACAAAGTCTTCACCATATACTCCATGAACAGACCAAAAACGATCGCTGTACCGGGCGATTTATAATTATTTTGTCCGGTCTCGAGGAATCGATATCGTCTCGTATACCAAGTATATTATCTTATTATACAGCACGCGATTACGCGACGGAGACTCCTCTATATTGGAGCGCTAATGGATTTTCCTACTGTTTTCCAAACATATTTTCGCGGAAATTCTATTTGAATTTTAAAAAAAGCGACGAGTGCTTTACAGTTTGTACACGCGGCACCACACGTGTGGCGTCATGTGGTCCGTCCGTCCGGCGTCGTCGTCGTCGTTTATCGCGGGACAGCGCAAGCGTCTTGTGCGCATCGGCCGTGTGTCGACGTCTCCTATAACCACCGCCACCACCGTTACCACCACTACCACCACTGTTACCACCGGCATCGCCACTACCCCCACGCGACGCCACATATCGCTGCCGAGACAACCACCCCGCCGCCGGACCGACAGGACCGAACTGTTGCCTACACGGCGCGCCGTCCAATTACGCATATTGACGCCGCCGCCGCCGCGCCACTCATTCAACGACGGCGTCGGGCAAGAGAGACTGCGTCAGGGAGAGGACACGCTGGCGCACTAGGCATCGGTTTGCTTTCGCACGACCGTGAAACGTCCAAATTAAAACGCGACAATAAAAGTCGAAATCAATCGATGCTATAGGGGGTGAGGAAAAGAGATCAGAGACATTTGTATCTAGTCGGAAAACGGGTTCTTATCAATTTAATTCTTACTTTATTCCATGCACGCAAGCTGGATATTTTTCCATCGTTCACAGTTGTGATTATTATCGACTATTGGGATTTCTTGACGAGCTAAAACTCATACATAGCAGTTTCGCATACAATGCGCGGACTTCACCGTACGGGATTATATTTATAGCACCCGCCTACACCGGGAGAGTTGAGATCACACATGCACGTCATCCAAATGACGCGATAAGTGGACGCAATTGATATTTTATACGAAAAAAATCAATATAAATAAAAAAAATTTACAAATTGTAAAAAAAAATAAGCCCCCCAATAATATCGAAACATCTACTACATTATTAAACTGGACTTATATCAAAGAAAGAAAAAATATTGGATTTAATTACGTATATACAGCTATATAGATTAATAAAAATATAACATTTATATCTGTTGACAAAATGTAACAAATCAATTAATACGAACCCATGAATGATGAGCGCCTAGCTATAGTTAATATAATGTTACCCGCAGACTAAATCATTTTAAAACACCATAACTAAAGTATATACCATAAGTGAACGTTAATAAAAAATATATTCACTCAACGTATAGTATGATGATGTTATATAATGAGCCATTTGGTTATAAATGAATATTCTTTAGAATTGTCATTTCTTTTTAATTGCCTACGACGAAACTTCTTTCTATTCGAGTAATATAAAATTAAAAGTCTTGGCAAGTGCTGCTCCTGACAGTATTTGAAATTAATTGACCATCATTACAATAAGAAAAAAACTTAAATAAAATGAAATGAACAAATTGAAATAAAAGGGTAAAAGAAAAGAATCTGAAGAAAATGGTTTCGGTGGAAAATTTAGTTTCACCATAGTAACGTTGTTCATCAAATTAATGTTTATTCAAGTTTATACTCGAACTACGTACACCACACGAAAATATTAGCTACTAGATTGTAACATAAACACGCAGTGGTTCGTATTGAAATATTCACTTAAAAATGTCGATATTCGCACAATACTATATAATTATTAATAATATAGATAATAGATATTATTCATTGAAATAAAAAATAGATGTATGGCAAATGCTAATCGAATTGGTGGGTGTACAGAAATTGAAAAGAAAAAAATATTTTAAAGGAACTTTTGATTAGTTTTGAATTTTTTATTTTTATGAGTTGTTTTTACTTATTTTTTCTTTTCTCAATTTACAATATTGTTACTAAGATAATTTTATACTATATGGACAGACATTAAAATGTCCCCAAAATTAAACAATTTTATTTGGCTAAAAATGTAAGGTTTATTTTACAATGTATGTGAAAAATATAAACCTATAAAAGACATTTTGATTAAAATATTTGATAAAATATAGTTGATAAAAAATATTATTCATGTACGTCAAAATAAAATAACAAGTAAATATTTGTATAATATTTAACTGGGTAGTTTAAACTAAAAAAAATAATAAGCCGACAACGGTAATGGAGGCAGCAACAGCAGCGTCAGTGATAAATAGAAATGGGATTAAGATAATATACAGGAGAAAGGTACCTGCGCAATATGCTCAATGTGCGTACGAGACGATATAAATTTCTTAGTAGGTATACCTACATAATATTATACCGTTAACTTATTTCTAGTCGCTAAAATCTGATACGATTAACGAATATCGTTGTCGAAGTGTATTATTCGAGAGTCAAGATGATAAAAATTAATAATGTTTATTTCTGAATAATAATTATTGACTACCTACGACCAACTGCAACAGTGGAAAACCTTTTTTTCTCCATATTATAGAATCCAAATAATAAATAAACGGTACGAAACTTGGTGTCTGAGACTTAAAAGTTAAAATATAATATAGTCATATAGGTATTTACAATCTTATTGGTCAGCGATTATTATTAGCGTTTTGCCATTTTCGCAGGATTATATTTTCGTACGCGCTGTTTATCTAATGCATAGAGATGTTTATAAAAAAAAGCTTCGTTCGTTACCGTCTATAGAATTGAGGAAAAATAAGAATTGATGCCAGTTTATTATTTTAAACTACGACTGAACATTATATATCGATAAAGTTTCCCAGGCATAATTTGCATGTAATATCGATTACATTATAGAAGTAGGTAGGTACTTATAGAAAACCAAGCGTATCAGACCGCAATTTAAATCTTAAGAGCTAAAGGGGATTTATCGAGGCTACTTTTAATCCTCTATAACATTCTTAATGTTTCTATATACGTTTTAAAATAATTGTTTCATACTCCCGCGCATGTTGTTTTCCACGCCAATGCGTACCTACACTACATAATAATAATCGAGTTACAACAGATAAAACCGTTCCTTAAATAGTAACACTTGAGTACTGTTAAAACTCAATATATACATAAGATACATTTTTAATGTAAATCTTCACAGTTTGTGTGTGTAAAAATAAATC